CTCTTTACATTCTCTAAATATCGTTTTGTGGATATCATGTACCACATTTAAGAGGCCCCTCGCCCAAAGGTTGAATACACTTTGACATTTGTGATGTTATGAATGAAAAATGAAGCTAAACTTATTTTTCCTTTCTACAGTGTATGTCCACAGTTTCAGATTGAAATTCTGCAGGTACATGTATGTAACTTTAAAAATTAAACAACATTTAGTCAACTGTTATTGTATCAGTTGAAATATACAGACAATGCGTTTCAGAATTTCAAACAATCATTGATACTAAGATTAGTTTATTAGTATAAAAGTATTGTTCTCTCAAAATGCGATGACACTTGTTCTTTTGTATTTTATTGCATGTTGGAGCCTTATAAGTCATAATTAACTTCGACAACAATGTATTGAAATAACTTAAAACGATATGCTATAATAAACCGACAAATACCGGCTTTTTAAATTTGGTGAAACTTATTCCAAGGTTTATATAATATAGCCTTTTTAAGTATCATAAATCAAACTAGCTTTTGACAGGAATGTGTGGTAATAATGTATTATAAGATCAAATAAACTGACAAATATTCTTTAAAATTGACAACTTTTTTCATGTTTGTTTTTTGTCGTTTTAGTGTCTCGTAAGTCGATTAACTTTGGTGGTAGGTAAATCTTGTACCCCGTTCCCGGACCCGGACTGAAACCCCGTACCGGGAATATAAAGATATTTTAATATCTCATTAACGCGATGGTTTATAATTTTTATAAAAATATAGAATAATTTCAAACATTATTTTCTAAATGTGACAATTACAAAAATGTTTATTTATTATCTAATAATTTAGAAATCGACGATAATGTGTTTTTCAAGGGGGTAAAACTTGTACGCCGCTGTCAACCGTGAAAATCACGGTTTTTCACATATAAGTAGAAATTTAGGGAAAATTAACATGTTATTTTCAGATATATAGAAGAAAATACCTTACTGTTGATAATTATGTAAGTTTCGTTAATATAAACAACATATTTCACATTAAATTCTGACTTTGTTGTGATCGCGGGCGAGGATCGCGAGTGTTTTGTTTAGGCCTACTCCCGTGCCCGTACTAAGGGGACATAACTCTGTCAAGCTGTCGTTATCAAGTAGAACTCTTACCCATTCTATCAGAATGTTACCAGGCTCTGCGACGCGGACGCAGTTCTACATAAGAGCCCATATTTTTTTTAAACTATATATATATAAGATAAATAATAGTTCACAAAATAAAAATTCATGATCATCATTATGATTGGTTACCATTAGAAAAAATTAGTATTTTTATAATAACTTATATTTGAAGAAATGGTTTTATGATTGAAATGATTGTGTTCTTTTTAATACAAATTACAAATTACAAAAAAAAAGGATTAACTTGAATAGAAAATTATAAATATATTTATTAAAATAAAAATTAGCTGTAGTCATATCACAATGCTGGCTAACCTAACTAACTAAACTGCATTATTCTAACCTGACCTATATACTTAATTCTGACTTGTATTGCTGTTTTATGAACACTTACCACACTTCATAATAAAACTATCCCTAGAAAAATGTAAATCTGACAGATCACTTACACATCTATTATGAAACCATCTGTCACAGCCAGCATCACAAGAAACCATATCATCAAATACATTTGAAATGTGACACCCATCTGCTTCGCAATCAATAAAAATATCAAATGATAAAGAAGTCTTCTTTTGCCTATGCCTAGGAAATTTGGTAAAGATTCCATTGGAAATACATTCTACAAGATGTTGTCTCATGCAAGTGGTGTCAAACTCTAACTCTTCACTCCCGTTAAACCCATTGAAACAAAATTCTACCAAGTTAGCAATAGCAAAAACCCCACAGTCAACCCCGTTTTTCTGTTGTTGCACATTTGGTAATACTGTTTTTAAAACTTTTCTATTTCCCTCATACGATGATGACAACTGCATTTCTAAAGAAGCTGACAAATTTTTCGTATTTCCAATCAAACTATCAAGAATGTATACTTCCCCACTATCTACCTCCTGTACTGACACTACCCAATGGTCCACCTTTACAACCCGTCACCTTCACTACCGTCACCTTCACTACCATCACCTTTACTACCATCACCTTCACTACCGTCACCTTACTACCATCACCTTCACTACCGTCACCTTTACAACCGTCACCTTCACAACCGTCACCTTCACTACCGTCACCTTCACTACCATCACCTTTACTACCATCCCCTTTACTACCATCACCTTCACTACCATCACCTTCCTTACCATCACGTTCACTACCTTCAACTGAACACCTTAGGGGCAAGTTGAATATGCATATTTAGCACGAGTCTTGACGAAGTTATGTCCCCTTAGTACGGGTACGGGAGGAAACAAAACACCCGCGATCCTCGCCGGCGATCACAACAAAGTCAGAATTTAATGTGAAATATGTTGTCTATTTCAACGAAACTTACATAATTATCAACAGTAAGCTATTTTCTTCTATATATCTGAAAATAACATGTTATTTTTCCCTAAATTTCTAGTTATATGTGAAAAACCGTGATTTTCACGGTTGACTGCGGCGTACAAGTTTTAAAATTATAAACCATCGCGTTAATGAGATATTAAAATATCTTCATATTCCCGGTACGGGTTTCAGTCCGGGTCCGGGAACGGCTGGATATTGATCTAATTTTATGTACATTTTACCTGTTTTATTTGAAGATCAATATGTGACACTTGAATAAAATAATTGTATTATTATTATTATTATGTATATACGTACCAAGTCGTCATCTGTACATTAAATGCGTGGCCGGAGGGAATGACCACAGCGAAACTGATGTCCATTATAGTCCGATCACAAGCTCAATTAAAAACCAATTAGCATAGTGTTATATCTATTAAAAGGGACCTTTGTCGGTCGGTTTCGTTCAGCAGATATATATTCATTATATTAATTACTCCATTTAGTGTATGCAAGATATAAGATATATGAATATGATGTCTATTTCAATATGAATTACAATCTTAGGTTATAATCAAGATTGACTTAAAGATTGTATTTGGTCGCATAGACGTAAATGAAGTGGATTGAATTACAAGTGCACGCACGCACACACACACACACACACACACACACATATCATTATATATATTACATGTATATGAACCACATATGTAAATTGTTGAAAATATATTTGTGCATATCTTCTGGCTATGTTGTGTACACCACACGTATTACCATACCCGTCTTCTTCTACATACACATCCATACAAAGACGACATTATATATCAATTGTGATTTTTATTTATCGTTTTGTATCAGCTTGTCATTGTAATCCAGCCCTGGTTATCTTCTTTTGAACAGATACCGATTTTAAGTGAAACATCTGTTCGAGGATTAAGAGCGATGTTTATGATGACAATGTAGGACGCGGTAGATGTTTTACCCCACAGGATTATGTACATGTATCGATGTGTTTACTTTGAACCAATGTAGAGTGTTTTTTTTCCTACATATTGGGATGGTTTTGTAACACTGCGACGCTTCACTGAAAATACCACATCTGTGTCACGTGATAACTTCATCGAAAAACAGTTTGTTCACCATTTCTGGAAAACGACGTTGGTCTGAATATTAGCTTGAAATCAGAGCGAAAATGCCCATGAACAAAAAAACACTCCTGTTATCCCTAACGATATTGAACATCTTGCTCTTTACTTCTATCTTCAGGAGCATCAAAGAAGGTAAGTGGTGAAAATGTTTTATAAATGCTTAATTAATCTATGATACTTCAATACTCATGTATTGAAACACAAATACTTGCTTCTTATTTGTTCATTTAGCTGTTCATTTGTTTATTCATTTCTCTTTATTCATTAATTCGTTCTTTCATTAATTAATTCGTTTTTCATCCATAATCTGTGTATTTGCTTAACCATGAATTCATTAATTATTCTTCATCGCGGTTCATCTTTCAATCATTCCTTCATTCTTCATTCATTAATTTATTCATTTATAAATCCCTTTATTTATCTATGATGTATCATTCATTCGTATTTCATTTAGTTCATAAATAATGAACTACTGCATTCCTCATTTATAGATTTCACGAATTCTTAAGGATTAACTTGAATATATTTTTCATGTTATGGAGATGTAACACAAAAAACACTCATTTTTTGTGTTATATCTCCATAACATGAAAAATATATTCAAGTTAATCCTTATAATTTAATCTACTATACACAATCCCTGTGGAAATCCACTTTTATTGATGGACTCTTTTCTCTTAGAAATTATTGCGCCGCTGTATCAACCAATCAAAAGCGACGTTACAAATGGCGACGTCATTTTTTTACGTTAAGGGATGATAACATAAATGTTTAAGCCAATGGATATGCTTGTTACAAGCAAGATTAAATTATATTCATGTATCCACTTGATTGATTTGTCTATTTATTTATTTTACTCATTATCAACTTGTTATTCATATATTTATTGATTAATTTATTTTCTTTCATTGATCTATATATTTTTTGGTTAATTCATTCATGTATGTATTTGTTTATATATTCATTGAATAAATAAATCGATTTATTCATCCTTGCCGTTCATCTTTCATTCGGTCATTAAACCATTCCATTAATAAATCAAATGAGTTACCCAGTGGCTCGATTAATTTATTCTTCCAAAATATTGGCCAAATAACTCATTTTGCTTAAAGTTAATAAGGATTCTATATTTATTTAACTAGCCTACGCTTTTTCCTTACCTTCCGATCACGTGGTTTCCCTTTGCATGATAAGCAAGTATTACAGCCGCCCAAACATTTTTTTTGCAACAATTCGCTGTGTGGAACCCCGAATTTTCAATAAAAGTACATTTTCAGCACTTGGAACCAAACAGAAAAAGTTATGTAACTTAAATGTTTTATATGGATTGCATACAAGTGTATTATTCGACCTTATTAGTAAATATTTTCTGTAAAAATCGATCTATTTATTGATGTGGGGAGGAAAGGGGGCTTTTGGTCGGACTAATCAGAATATTTTTTCTGCAAAAATCGATCTTTTTATTGATGTTGGGAGGGGAGGGGGTTTTGGTTGGCATAATCAGTAAACTTTCTGCAAAAATCGATCTATTTATTGATGTGGGGAGGGGCCAGGGTGAGGGGTTGGGGGGCCAGGGTGAGGGGTTGGGGGTGATGGATACGGGGATTTTAACATTTTGAACATTTACAAATGTATATGGATGATGACGCTTAAGATTGAGTGTCTGAAATGAAACGTTATATTTAAGCATTCTTTTATTTTGTATTTATCTATTTAAATTTTCCAAATACGGATAATTTTCAGCTTGAGAATAAACTACATGTATGATACCATGGTATCCTCAACAGATTGAAATACTGGCTTCAGTACATAATATGACGAGGAAGTATGCTTATGCAAACATAATCCTAATTCGAAATTTGTGTCGCGCGGTATGCTACTGTAATTAACGTCTATCAGGGCTGATCCCAAACGCCACTGACATACATTGAAACTTGTTCCGTTTGCTTACAGAGGAACGTGCATCGTTACGTGACACTGCGAATTTCATTGAAGAGAACAACCGTGGGTTACAATTGAATTACAAACAGGAACGCCCCCGTGACGATTACCAAGATGGAGTAAACAAACTCGATTTTGACACAAAATCAACACAACACCCAAATACAGACTCCCCAAAGGTGTTTCAACACTCGGCAGGTATGTATAGCAGTACATTATTAAACATAAAACAAATATCTGAATAAAAAGGTAACTCTTATTTTGTTATTAGTCTCACGATATACCTTAAAAGGGCTATTGTCATATATTTAATATCTAGGAAACAAGGAATCAATGCTAAAAATGATTGATCAGACTGAGAAAACAATATATCCGCAGTTATACCGTCAACTTTGTTGTAAATGGACATATCTCGACTGGTGTCATCAACTCTTGCAGAATTGATCACATGGTCCGTCACGTGATAATTCTGTCTTTACTCCGTCACAACAAAAATGGATTCCAAGATAAATGTTAACAAAGACACGTGTGTCAGATATTACGAATTGTCACCTTTTCTTATGCGCATTTCGTTGCAGGATAATGTAGTTTACTTAACTTCGGTGATCGTACATTGGTGTAAATAGGTGGTTTTCTGATAATCCTGTAGATTAAAAACTGGTAGCGTTCCCTTTGACTATCGCAGTGTAAGTTTGTAGAGCAGAGACCAACGTACATGTACATGTAGGACAAACTGCGCATATGCATTATGCAAACACCACCGGAACAATGGTTGATCCTGGTGACCTAGCCATGTCAAACTGGTACCGATTTTGTCACAAACTGCAGAATCCTGGCGCCAAATGTTAATGCGTATTTGTCGTGTACTGATGTATTGGGGCTATACATTTAGTACAACGATACTTGATTGGTCAGTCTCACCATCCATGCAGGAATATATGGTAAATAGTCGAACTAAAGGCCATGACTTAGATTCAAGCTAACAGGTACCAACAGTGACTGGCGTTGCCTATTATATCATCAGTATTTACTATTTACATTACACATCATCATGGTGCAGACAGAATGTATATACAAGTGCAATGTTTACTAATTCAACTACCTACAGTACATCGGTCCTCTCTGTCTCATGTATGATGTTTCAACACGCTTCAGTCTGCGACCACATGCATGTACAATGTTTACTTAACTTGGCTACAGTTAACTACCGTAAACAAGCACATGTTATTTAACAATGGGGTGTATAGTGTCTTTTCATCCAATTATACCATCTATTAAATTTAAATTGTAATACTTAAAAATATCCCAGCTTTTATATTTCATTTACAACATAACACCATCTAATAGAACAAACGTTACTTCCGGTTCATCTAAACATGTCCGGTTCAACACGTGCTTTGTTGTTATCGGTGGCATACGAGTGACAGGCTCACCTGAGCTACAGTTACATCCAAAACGAAATATTAAGGGGAGGTATACATGTAACACGAAAAAAACACAGTGAAATTCTGTTTTGCATACTGCCGGACAGGGACCCTTAAGATAACCTTATTACCCGAGGGTTTTTCCCGAATATTACTTATCGAGGGTGGACGATCGTAGGGAATTACAAGTCTGTGTGTTATCGCTGACTTCAACTACGCATGTCTGAACTATTTTGTTATATTTACAGGTCCAACTCCCATAATTCTTCACACGTACATGCGCAGTGGATCTTCCTTCGTCGGTGACCTACTTAAGGCCGGGACTGGAACGTACTACACATTTGAACCGATACATGCTTTGCAGTTTACAATCAGACACATGGTACCTATTAGGTACCTCAATAAGCCATCCAAGTAAGCTCAATATTGACAGATAATAATATGGAAAACTTTAAAAATTGCATCCCACGATCAAAATGTTTCTTCTTTTTTGGCAATGTTTTTCATTATGCACTTATTTGTGATTAATGGATGTTTTCATGTTCTAAACGAGTTTGTTTATGCTGTGATAGCGCGTATCTTGTTCCGACTTCAGAGTGCTACCTCACTTAGATACCGAATGCACTCAGCACCGGTCTCATACTACAGACAAATAAATGGTTGTTGCGTTAAGTACTGAATAACAACAACCATATTTTAGGACTTTGGTATGTCCAGGCCTTGGGACAGACTCCATGGCCTTCCAAAACGTTGGTGAACCTGCAACACTAAGGCCGGGCTAGGCGCTAGGAAACAGAAAGTTAGTTGTGAAGTAGAGAGAATGTATTAAGATGTCAAATGTTTTAATTGGTGCAGCATGTTTGTTGATCAATTGAATAGAGTGTGATTGAAATATAGTTTGAGGTTTTGCTGGTCATTGTTAAAAATGGTTAAAATGTCAATATGAATTTTCATAAAAATAGATCTCCTTATACGACCTTAGTTGAGGATTCGACAGAGTAAAATCACAAAACGACCAACGGAAAAATAAAATTTTAATAGCAATTGTAATCATTATGTTTTTTTATTTTTTATTTTTTTCGTGGAGTAAAACTTTAAAGTACATATGTTCTTTTATTTTGTTTTAGAATTTTCAACAATTTTCTGGACGTTGCTGTACCAACGGTGAGGGACATGGTCACGTGTCAATTTTCCAAACTTCCGGTTCCGTATTTTGAGGACGGGTTTTTCTCCTATAGTACCAGAGCTAGTATATTTACTCAATGTAATAAAGGAGAAAGAATGATAACCGACACGGATAGAGCGAACACGTGTGCAGAGGAATTATCAAAAGAATGTTCCAAGTCGTCTTCTTTCGTAGCAAAGATAATTCGCCTGCCATTATACTCTCTTGAGGAACTTATGGAACAAATTCCGAATTTAAAAATTATACATTTACTGAGGGATCCAAGACCTACAATGTTATCGCAGATGAGAGCCGGTAACGTAAAACATAAATATTTAAAAACAAACGTCACAAGTTATTGCAATCGTGTATATGATGACGTCGTCAAGGCGGACGATTTTAACCGGAAGTTCCCTGGTCGATTGCTGCGCGTGCATTATGAGGACATTGTAATGAAACCCTTCGAACTAACCCGAAAAATGTACGATTTTGCTGGCATGCCCTTTACGAACAGAGTAAGTGATACGATATCTCGCCTGACTGGACATACGGAGCATCACAAAAGTTCTAACGATAAAGCGTCGGCGTGGCGGTCAAGTGTTGACATGGATTTCATACATACTGTTGACACGGCATGTAACCTGCTATACGCCAAAGTTGGCTTCCAGGCCATGGCTACGGAAGCCGATATACGAGACACGACAAAAGGTCTAAGGGGCCCGCCGCCTCCTTTTGATGACTTTCGATTAGCATAGATATATAAAAAATAGAATGATACATAAAACATTAGCAAGATCCTAGCGTAAAAATGTCATTGTGTTATCTTATTTAAAAACAGACTCGATAGACATGCATTGATAAAGAACTGATTTATATTTACGTAGCGGAAATTCTACGTTAGACAGTCACAGGTGATGTCCATAACTGAATTGTATCTACATTTTGTTATATATATGTGTACTTACATATGTATATTTTGAAATCATGTTTGAATCCGGTGAAAAGGATCTAAACAAAATAAATAAAATATAATAAAATCTCGATATACTGACGCTTGTGTATCACCGTGCAGTACAACTTCACTATACTGTCCTTCGTTTGTCATTTAAAGTCAAATTTTTATATTTAATGACATTCTCTGAACTCTGTACAGTAAAATACTGATATGATACCATTCGTTGTCTCTGTATTATGAAGCTTCGATATAATGTCCCTCGTTTGTCACTATACACTATGGGCGGATTGGTCGAGGGGTTAACACTTCGGCCTTCCACGCAGGCGGCTGGGGTTTGATCCCCGAAGTCGTCGCACGCATAGAATATCAGAGAAAGTGTTTTTCTCCTGCCCACACAACTCCAACAACACAGGTGGAGTATAAAATAGTCTTTGGTGGATGAAGTGAGGTGGCACTATAAAAGATGCCGTTGGAAGCACGGTCCCACTACAAACAGAACACAATACATATCAAGCAAACACGCAGGTACTGTATACACCATAGGGCGACATTAGCCAAGAGGCATAGAACTAGTAGTTAGCGCCTGGTAAGGCAGCTCCTGTAAATTCCTAAAAAAAATGCATATCCAAATTGTAATATTTGTATATCTATGTACTGTAAAGCCCTTTAGAGTGGCTTATGTAAGCTACATGTAGATGGGGCACAATATCAATAGTATGTGTTTGTTGTAAATTAATTCATGTATTATTAGAAATTGCATTATATTTATATGTTGTAAACCATTATGGAAAGGGCATCTATAAGTTGCAATAACTTGTGTCCAATCCTTTTGTAGTTATATTGCAATAAAATATGTTTAAACAAACAATATCAAATGTTGTATATTATTATTATTATACAGTAAAACGTCGATACAATGTCCCTAGTTTGTCACTGTACAGTAAAACGTAGATATAATGTCCCTCGTTTGTCTCAGTGCAATACAACGTCCATACATTGTCATTATTGAGAGAAAACCTCGATATATAATCCTCCATTTATTCAAGTACCTTAAAATGTCCCTCGTTTGTCACTATACAGTAAAACGTAGATATAATGTCCCTCGTTTGTCACTATACAGTAAAACGTATATATGATGTCCATCGTTTGTCACTATACAGTCAAACGTAGATATAATGTCCCTCGTTTGTCACTGTACAGTAAAACGTAGATAAAATGTCCATCGTCTGTCACTATACAGCAAAACGTAGATATAATGTCCCTCGTTTGTCACTATACAGTAAAACGTAGATATAATGTCCCTCGTTTGTCACTATACAGTAAAACGTAGATATAATGTCCCTCATTGGTCACTATACAGTAAAACGTAGATATCATTTCCCTCGTTTGTCACTGTACAGTAAAACGTAGACACAATGTCCCTCGTTTGTCACTATACAGTAAAACGTAGATATAATGTCCCTCGTTTGTCACTGTACAGTAAAACGTCGATACAATGTCCCTCGTTTGTCACTTTACATTAAATCGTAGACATAATGTCCCTCGTTTGTCATTATACAGCAAAACGTAGATAAAATGTCCGTCATTGGTCACTATACAGTAAAACGTCGATACAATGTCCCTCGTTTGTCACTTTACATTAAAACGTAGACATAATGTCCCTCGTTTGTCATTATACAGCAAAACGTAGATAAAATGTCCGTCATTGGTCACTATACAGTAAAACGTATATATATAATGTCCCTCGTTTGTCACGGTATAGAAAAACGTAGATATAATGTCCCTCGTTTGTCACTTTACATTAAAACGTAGATAAAATGTACGTCGTGGGTCACTATACAGTAAAACGTCGATACAGTGTCCCTCGTTTGTCACGGTATAGAAAAACGTAGATATAATGTCCATCGTTTGTCACTATACAGTCAAACGTAGATATAATGTCCATCGTTTGTCATTATACAGTTAAACGTAGATACAATGTCCCTCGTCTGTCACTTTACATTAAAACGTAGACATAATGTCCCTCGTTTGTCATTATACAGCAAAACGTCGATACAATGTTCCTCGTTTATCACTATACAGTAAAACGTCGATACAATGTTCCTCGGTTATCACTATACAGTAAAACGACGATACAATGTCCCTCGCTTGTCACTATACAGTAAACCGTATATATATAATGTCCCTCGTTCGTCATTATACAGTAAAACGTAGATATAATGCCCCTCGTTTGTCATTATACAGTTAAACGTAGATACAATGTCCCTCATTTGTCACTGTACAGTAAAACGTAGATATAATGTACCTCGTTTGTCACTGTACAATAACACGAAGATATCATTTCCCTCGTTTGTCACTACACAATAAAACGTCGATACAATGTCCCTCGTTTGTCACTATACAGTAAAACGTATATATATAATGTCCCTCGTTTGTCACGGTATAGAAAAACGTAGATACAATGTCCCTCGTTTGTCACTATACAGTAAAACGTAGATATAATGTCCCTCGTTTGTCACGGTATAGAAAAAACGTCGACACAATGTCCCTCGTTTGTTACTGTACAGTAAAACGTAGATACAATGTCCCTCGTTTGTCACTGTACAGTAAAACGTAGATATAATGTCCCTCGTTTGTCATTATACAGTTAAACGTAGATACAATGTCCCTCATTTGTCACTGTACAGTAAAACGTAGATACAATGTCCCTCATTTGTCACTATACTGTAAAACGTACATATAATGTCCCTCATTGGTCACTATACTGTAAAACGTAGATACAATGTCCCTCATTTGTCACTGTACAGTAAACTGTAGATACAATGTCCTTCGTTTGTCATTATACAGTTTAACGTAGATACAATGTCCCTCATTTGTCACTGTACAGTAAAACGAAGATACAATGTCCCTCATTTGTCACTATACTGTAAAACGTAGATATAATGTCCGTCATTGGTCACTATAATGTAAAACGTAGATACAATGTCCCTCGTTTGTCATTATACAGTAAAACGTAGATACAATGTCCCTCGTTTGTCATTATACAGTAAAACGTAGATATAATGTCCCTCGTTTGTCATTATACAGTAAAACGTAGATATAATGTCCCTCGTTTGTCATTATACAGCAAAACGTAGATACAATATCCCTCGGTTGTCATTATACAGCAAAACGTAGATACAATATCCCTCGTTTGTCACTGTACAGTAAAACGTCGATACAATGTCCCTCGTTTGTCACTGTACAATAACACGAAGATATCATTTCCCTCGTTTGTCACTACACAATAAAACGTCGATACAATGTCCCCTTGTTTGTCACTGAACAGTAAAACGTAGATACAATGTCCCTCGTTTGTCATTATACAGTAAAACGTAGATACAATGTCCCTCGTTTGTCACTGTACAGTAAAACGTAGATACAATGTTCCTCGTTTGTCTCAGTCCAATACAACGTCCATACATTGCCATTCATTTCAGTGTGTCATTTTCGAGATAAAACTACCATATATGATCCCCCATTTGTTTAAGTACCTTAAAACTTTGATATATTGTCCTTCGTTAGCAATTGTACATTAAAACTTTGGTATAGTGTCCTTCGTTAGCAATTGTATATTAAAACTTTGAGATAGTGTCCTTCGTTATCAATTGTACATTACAGCTTTGGTATAGTGTCCGTCGTTAGCAATTGTATATTAAAACTTTGATATATCGTCCTTCGTTAGCAAATGTACATTACAACTTTGGTATAGTGTCCTTCGTTAGCAATTGTATATTAAAACTTTGATATAGTGTCCTTCGTTAGCAATTGTACATTAAAACTTTGGTATAGTGTCCTTCGTTAGCAATTGTACATTAAACCTTTGGTATAGTGTCCTTCGTTAGCAATTGTACATTACAACTTTGGTAGAGTGTCCTTCGTTAGCAATTGTACATTACAACTTTGTTATAGTGTCCTTCGTTAGCAATTGTACATTAAACCTTTGGTATAGTGTCCTTCGTTAGCAATTGTACATTACAACTTTGGTAGAGTGTCCTTCGTTAGCAATTGTACATTACAACTATGGTATAGTGTCCTTCGTTAGCAATTGTACATTAAAACTTAGATATAGTGTCCCTCATTTGATCCAGTACAGTTCAACTTCACTACTGTAACTTTTGTTTTTCATTGTATGCTACTCACATTTTGCTAAGGATCACTTTTATTTTTGGGCATATGTGAAAACAAATATTTTATTTGGTTTATACTGAGATTTTTTTTGAAAAATTGATTGTTCTTTTAGTTCATTAGCATGCAAAAAATCAAAAAATCGTAATTACAGTTCGAAAATGAGCCACAGGAAAAGGGTTAGCCTTAAAATTGATAACATCGAGGTATTCACTTAAAAATTGAAAACTGAAAAAAAAACCATCCTAAATAAACAGAAACTGTTTTAATATCGAGTTTGACGCCCATGGGCATCAATTAGAGCTTTACAACGTCTGCGCATGCCCCGAATGAGATCGTGTATCCGGTTTTGTGGGATAGCGTTCCACTCAGCTACCAAATCTGTTCCCAGCTCCTGGAGCGTTCTTGGCTGAACATTTCTGGCAGAGATACTTGTCTGCAGCATGTCCCACAAATGCTCGATGAGATTTAGATCCGGCGAGCGGACTGGCCAATCCATTCTTTGAATAATCTCTTGCTGTAGATACTGCCCAATCACACTCGTTCTATTTGGTTTGGCATTATCGTCCATAAGGATGGTTTCAGGGACGATAGCGCCAGCCTAGGGTCTGACATTGGTAGCAAGGATTGCATCGCAGTAAATCCGGGTCGTAACGGTACCATTATGGAAGACCTCCGCTATATCGGTCATGTTTCACAACGTTACCTACCTAGAACCTCTCCCCAGGTTATCTTCATACTGTAACGCGTATGTCGGTGAAGTTGAGTCAGAATCTTGACTCGTCAATAAAAAGAACCGGTTTCCATTCCTGAAGAGGCCAAGTACTGTGAGCTTGACTCACATGTCGGGCAGGAAACTCGTATTGCTGTCTACGTAACCTTTAACCAGCATCATGAAGACGGTTCCTAACTGTCTGAGTGGCTACCCGGGTACCAGAAGCATTCCGAATGTCGTTCCATAAAGCTGTGGCAGTCTGGAGCCTGTGACGCTGTGCCTGTATGGGGGAAATCGGTCTTGGCGCTGCGTTGTAGCCCTAGAACGACATCCAGCATGGCCTCTGGAAGGGTTTCCGTTAGTTTGGAAACGAATCCACATTCTCGCCACCACACTTTGAGACACCCCAAGGTCTGCTGCAACCTGACGTTGAGAG